ACACAAGATTTAAGATTTGTTTTAAAAATCAAATTAAATATTGATTTTATTGGACGACAAAAAAGTGTTAATAATTTGTTTCATAAAAAGTTTATTTCCTTTTAAAGTCTTTTTATGTCATTTGTATGAAAAGTGTGTTTTTTATAACAATGTTTAGTTTCCTATCATTTATTGATGTTTTGTTATATGAAATGCATTTCAATATGGATTTAATTGTGATTTAAAAGTTTTGGTCTTTTAGACCAACTCATCGTTTATTCAATTGTTTTTATCATTCAATTATAAATTCATTGTTCGCTTAATTGCCTAAAAATGTCTCAACTGTTCCCTGAATTGTATACAAAGGTATGTCTTAATCGTGTCTTCAGGACATTATGTTTGCATTTTATCTCATAATTAATTAATGGACTGATTGTACGGCAAAAGGGATCCAAGATATGGATCAAACACTCAACAGATGTTTGGCAATGCGCTGTCATTAAAGTGAATTTCAGTCAAAAGGAAAAAAGTCTTGTCGTAGAGGATGAAGAAGAACAGGTGATGATTGGACTCAACGCTGAGATATTAATATATTTATTAATTATTTGATTACTGATTAGGAAATAACAATACCGGTGAAAGACTTGTCATGTCTGCCGCCTCTCCGAAACCCAGACATACTGATCGGTGCCAACGATTTGACGAGTTTGTCATATCTTCACGAACCCGCAGGTCTGAGCCCCGGTCCCCGACATTTGATGCATTAATAACATAATTTGCGATCTTTTTATCCTACGATCAGTGCTATACAACTTAAGGGTCCGATTTCTGGAGCAGTCGGCGATATACACGTGGTGTGGGATAGTATTGGTGGCAATCAATCCATTCTGTGATCTCGAGATCTATGGCGAAGAGACCATTCAGACGTATCATATTACAACTTAAGGGTCCGATTTCTGGAGCAGTCGGCGATATACACGTGGTGTGGGATAGTATTGGTGGCAATCAATCCATTCTGTGATCTCGAGATCTATGGCGAAGAGACCATTCAGACGTATCATAAATCGCAGGGCGCGGCACAACTCGACCCTCACATCTATGCCGTGTCCGAAGACGCCTACTCTAAGCTCGAAAGGGATGACAGAAATCAATCCATTATTGTCAGCGGCGAGAGTGGAGCCGGTATTTGGTTTGCATGGTTTGCGTGAGAATTATATTAATATTAGTGTGATTTATAGGCAAAACTGTTTCGGCAAAGTTTGCGATGAGATATTTTGCATCCATTGCGGGCACCGACTCGTCCAATATTGAGAATCGCGTTTTGGCCAGTAATCCCATTATGGAGGCCATCGGCAATGCAAAGACCAACAGAAATGATAACTCATCCCGTTTTGGTATTTTTATAACATTGTTTTATTTGTGACTTTTATTACTATTGTATAAAATCTGTTTACAGGAAAATATATTCAAATCTTATTCGATCGTCAGAGTCGGGCCATAACGGGTGGAAATATGAGGACATATTTGCTGGAAAAATCGCGAGTTTCTCGTCAGAGTGAAGGCGAACGCAATTTCCATATATTTTATCAAATGTGTACTTATGCCCAACAAAACAATCTCAAGCATTTAAAGTATTGATTATTAATTCTCATAATATTTATGCATTGAAATAATTGAATTGATTGCAATCCAAAGGTTGGATTCCAACACAGAATTTGCATATTTGGCATCAATAGAGCCGACGCCGTACGACGATATGGACAGATTCATCGAAGCCATGCAATGCTTGGGATTCACGGAAAAGCAACAAAATCTAATCTATAATGTGGTCGCAGCGATACTACACGCCGGCAATATTGAGTTCACACGTATTGATGACGAGAAGTGTTGTCTTTCCGACGATTCTGAGCCTCATTTACAGACTTTTTGTTCACTTTTGGGTTTGTTTTATTTGATTGTAAGTATTTGTAAACTAAACTATTGTGTTATCCGTTAGGTCTGGACTCTTCGGCTACCAAACACTGGTTGACTCATCGATTGTTAAAGACTGGAATGAGAGAACTCATTACAACTACTTTGACAGCAGAATTGGCTCAATACGGAAGGGATGCGCTCTTGAAGTTTGTTTACGAGACTATGTTTTCATGGATTGTCGCTCTCATTAACAAAGCACTCGGTTTGAAATGATTTAACTATTTTAGTTAATAGTATTTAATATTATAATTTTGATAATTAGGTCCAACCAATACCTCAGTAACCTATCCGTTCATCGGTGTTCTTGACATCTATGGTTTTGAACATTTTGAAACCAATAGCTTTGAACAGTTTTGTATCAATTATGCAAATGAAGTCCTTCAGCAACAGTTCAATCAACACGTCTTTAAAGTAATGATTGAATTGATATGATTGTAAAAATGGTTGTCATTAATTGAATGCAAACTTAATGTTTTAGTTGGAACAAGAAGAGTATGTTCGGGAAGGCATTGATTGGCAGTTCATCACATTTACAGATAATCAGCCGGTGATCGACATTATCGAAGCCAAACCTATTGGCATATTATGTCTACTCGACGAAGAATGCAAAATGCCTAAAGGTTTGTCTCATTTACTATATAATTGTCGTTATTATTAACTTTATTATACATTGGATTCGATGCAAATCAGGCACAGACGAGACGTGGGGCGCAAAGCTTTACTCCCAAATAACTCTCGGAGAGGTCTTCCAAAAACCCAAATTTGGTTCTAGAAATTCATTTATTATTCAACATTTTGCTGACACTGTTGTATACAATGTCGAGGGTTTGTCTTAAATTGAAAGAATTTGTAAAACGTGTTTAATTGGTATTTATTTATGCGAATGATTAGGTTTTTTGGAGAAGAACAGAGACACGATATGGGACGAGCAAATCGATCTGTTAAAGCGATCCACTGTTGTTGACGTACTATTCAGCGATAGTTTGTCGGGAGAGCCGACACAGAAATCCGGTGGAAAAATCAAAATAACTCCTGTAATTAAATAATATATTTCTCTCACATTTCAAGTTTATTAACTTAAAGTACATCTCAATTGACAGCAACAACAGTCACAGAAACAGCAAAAGCAGGCGAAGGCAACGGTTGGCTCACAGTTTCGGGACTCGTTGGCTGCGCTGATGAAGACATTGAACGCAACGGAACCGCATTACGTGCGATGTATTAAACCCAACGATAATAAGGGTGGCTTTGAGTTCAACAATATCCGAGCCGTTCAGCAATTGCGAGCGTGCGGTGTATTGGAAACCATCAGAA